CAGTAAATAGTGCATGATTCACTACATGTAGAACTAGGCACATCTTTTGTGCATCCAATGCAAGGAAAAGTGGGACTGGGGAGTAACACCACTATGTTCACAAGTGTTTACTTCCAATGAGTCTCATGTGACTGTGAAAACGAACCGGACTTGGTCTTAGACTGCCTGTGTTTTCCCAGCAAGCATGAGGCTGTCCTGGTTCCGTTTCCTTTTCTCTGATAATGTGTCCTAGAAAAAAGCAACTTAGGGGAGAAAGTATTTCTTTGACAGATTTATAATCCATCCCTGGGAGGAAGTTAAGAACCTTGAATTGACAACTCCATTTTGGCATTTTAAGATTTGTCTTTTGCTTGTGTTTGGCACTACCCCCTAGGCAAGTACCAAATGATGCTGTTCTGACTCTAGCATTCTTACCTTTACTTTCCCTCTCATGTCCCCATCCTTTACTGCCTCCATTTCTTCCCCCTTTCTGCCTGAATCATTAGGGGTTTGTGTAATCTTTCTTTCTTCAAGGCATCAATCACAACAGTAATTTTCCAAGTGAATGAAGTCAATCAAAGAAATCATGGGTGATGTTTACTAAGTTTCCTGAAGTTCAGATATTGTGTAAGATCTCCTATACTTGTGTAATCATGGAAGAGAAATCATATGAATAAACTCATTTATATTATTGAAAATAGGATTTTTTGTCTAGTAGATGAGAAATGCAATATTTGGGGGAAGCAGTTGTTGTAGTTTGAATATTATTGGCTTCCATAATCTCAGGGAGTGGCACTATTAGGGGGTGTGGTCTTGTTAGACTAAGTGTGTCTCTATGGGAGCTGACATTGAGGTTTCCTATGCTCGGGATATGGCCGAGTATGTCAGACGACTTCCTGTTCCCTGCAACCCAAGATGTAGCCAGCATGATGTCTGCCTGCACATCACCATGCTCCCTGCCATGATGATAATAGACTGGACCTCTGAAACAATAAGAAAGCTACCCCAATTAAATGTTTTCTTTGTAAGAGTTGCCATGGTCATGGTGTCTCTTCACAGCAATAAAAACTCTGTCTAACTAAGACAACAGTAGAATAAGATAGAAAAAGTATCAATATAAACCTGTTATTTAATCACGTGGCATGTATTTGGTCCATGGACTTTATTTTTGTCTTGTTTACCCACTGGTATTAGTAATTACACCCAGAGCCTTGTGTTATCTCGGCAAACTCTCCAGAACTAAATCACTACCTCTGCCATTGTTTTAGAACATAATTTTCGTTTAAGTCATAGTGCTTTGAAAGAATGGACTTCATTTAGAATGTCCTGCTCAGTAAAAGAGACTCAAGATTGGGCAAGTAAAAAACTTAAAAGTTTGATTTATAGTGTGTGGCGTCACATAAAAGGCTTCATGCATGCTGCTCAAATCCTCTCCTAGCAAATTGCAACCACAAGGAAATCTAAGAATAATTTTAGCATCAAGAATAATGTGGGGCTGGTTGGTGGTGGTGCACGCCTTTAATCCCAGCACTCGGGAGGCAGAGGCAGGCAGATCTACAGAGTGAGTTCCAGGAAAGGCACAAAGCTACACAGAGAAATCTTGTCTCGAAAAACTAAAATAATAATAATAATAATAATAATAATAATAATAATAATAACTTGGATTAATAATTAATTGCTATTGTGATTGATGCACTGAAAAAATGAGTCCACAAACCCGTATTGATTCGAGCACAAAGGGCGAAATTGTGCTGGGATAGAGTGTGGAAAGAAGAGGGAAAAGCAAAGGCAGTGGGTAAAGGGAAAGTATACCCCCAGTGGTAGGAATACTACAATTAGAGGATCATCATTTGGCACTTGCCTAGACAATAGTGCCGAACATAAGCAAAAATAAATCCTAAAATGTCAAAACAGGATTGTTACCATCTAAACATGTTCACCCTTAGCCTTACCAGACTTATCATAGGGAGAGAGTCTGGCAAGAGTGTAAGCTTCACAGTTGTTGCAGAATCACCCATGAAAGAGTCTTGTAAAAATGACTGCACAAATTGAGTCTAAACATCCCAAAATCAACCAATTCAAACTGGATCATTCTACCCAAGGGTAACTTTCCCTCTTCAGGAATGTAGGTGTCAAATGCTCTCTGAGCCACTATGAAAGAAGAGAAACTTTTGCATAAATGGGGATTGATAAAACCTCACAGAGGGAGCTGGAGCAATAGCTCAGCTGTTACGCTCTCACAGAGGACTGATTTCCATTCCCAGAGCCCATATCAGGTGACTCACTTCTTCCTGTAACATAAGTTCCTAGGAACTTGGCAACTTCTGCTGGATAATGCAGGTACCACACTTACTTACACTGCTATACAGTGAATATACTACAAACAGAGACACACATAAGATAAATACAAATAAAATCTTTTTGAAAAATACATTAAAAGGGCCATTAAGACTGAGAAGGAGAAGGAAACTCACTCTCATTCCTGGGGTAGCCTGCCCCTGGTGGCAAGGTGAAAACATGGGTTCAGTGTCACCTGGCAGTGATAGATGGTTGGACAGTATTATGGTGAGCAAACATAGGGTGGAGTATGAGAGAGAGAAACCGAATGGTTCCTGTCTTGTGGAGAGAGGCAGATCTGAAGAGGTGGAGTCAGTGAGGAAGGAGCTGAGGTGGGTAGTTTGCTTTCCACGCCAGGCCATGGTGATGTCTGGGTCCTGGGTGCTGCCTAGGACCAGTTCTGGGTCCATGGCCCTGCTACAGCAGTGATCTATATTCAGAGTGGAAGAGCTGGCCCTTTGCGGCTGACCTGTTAGATGGTGGCCTGGGTGAGGAAAAGATGCCCTCCCTATCTTTCCCCTCTCCATCTGTGTCAAACAGGAGAGCTGACCCAACCCCTTCATCAAGCCAGCCCTCCACCTCACTTGGGCAGCATAGTATAGCTAACCCTGTCAACCGGTGCAAAGGTACACTGCCCACAAGAACATGAGCATGGAAGATTTGGTCTCACTCCTCATCTGCCATAAGATGGTGTGGATGAGGAAGAGATGCCTTCCCCCACCCCTCACCACCTATGGCAGGTGGGAGAGCAGGAGAGCTGTCCCTGCCCCTCACCAGCTGTGGCACTCGGGAGAGTGCCCCCTGCACCTTGCCTGGGCAACACAGTAGAGCAGACCCTGGTGGTGTAGGTATGGGTGAGCTGGCCCTGATGGTGAGAAAGCAGGAGAACTGGCCCCAGCCCCTTGTTCCTTGAAACAGAGGGTGAACTAGCTGGAGAGCTCACCCTGGCCCACCCAAGCCCTGAACCAGGGCTATTAATTAGCCCACCCCACCATCCACCCCATCTATCATCTGCTGGAGCACATAAGGGGCCGTCCTGAAGATCCAAAGCTGCAGATTGCCATGACATGGGACAGTAATAAGATGTCCAAGAGGAGTCACAATGGGGGCCCAGTATTAATAGTGTAGCAAAACTGTAGGCCTTGAACCAGACCAATGACTTTGCATGGAATACTTGCCAGTAAAGACATATGGACTAAAGGGTTTACTGTGTGACTCACTGTGTCACACTGCAGCTTCCACAGCAAGATTTTTCTTTTTCTTTATTTTCTCTTCTCTTAGATTTTATTTTATTTTATTTTGTAGGGCAGAAGCTACAAGGACAGGGGGTGGATAGGATATAAAGGGACAGGGAGATGAATAGGATCCAGATGCATGATATGAAGGCACAAAGAATAAATAAAAGTTAAAACAAATGAAGTATGAGGAGAAGAACTGAAGAGCTGAAGCAAGGTAGACATATTAGGATATTTAAACATATACAGTAATTTAAAAGGTTTAAGATTAGATTAAGCCGGGCGGTGGTGGCGCACGCCTTTAATCCCAGCACTCGGGAGGCAGAGCCAGGCGGATCTCTGTGAGTTCGAGGCCAGCCTGGACTACCAAGTGAGTTCCAGGAAAGGCGCAAAGCTACACAGAGAAACCCTGTCTCGAAAAACCAAAAAAAAAAAAAAAAAAAAAAAGATTAGATTAAGAATTCCCTACTTAAACAAGTTCAGTCTAAGTGACCATGTATTAAATGTTTTTATTTCATTTGCAAGCAACCTTTTACATAAATGAAATTAAGAGAAGTGCAGTATCTAAAGATGATCCTTAAAAACAAGGAAATAGATATTTAGCTACCAAGAGTGACTAACTGAACATTAATATATTCCGAATGATCTTCAATGCTGGATACATAGCTAACAGAAATAAAACAGAAATATCAAAGAAAAATATACACTAAAAGAAGCAAAACAGAGCTGATTGTGATCCAAAATTAATGAATCAATCATAGAAAACAGTATTTGCAAATGAGAGAAAATAGAATTCCCACTATTATATATCATAATATTAATGTGTAAAGAGACACAAGAACCCAGACACTCCAGTGTCCACCACCAGGCTCCTCCACCCCTGTGATATCCAGTGTTAAGTTTTATACATGAGGATATTGGTGAAATTATTAAGGCCATTCCACGTAGTTAAAAGGGAGATTTATTTAACTTACAAGTGAAGGGATAGGTAGGTTGCGGGTTCTGTGAAAGATGCAGCACAGTCCGGCGGTGTTCTCTGGAGAACTCTCCTCAGTCTACCTCTAGCATCCACGGTCCAAGAAGGAAGAGAGCGCAGCGCACCCCGATCTCTCATCCCGATCTTGCATCCCATCTCGGGTCTTCAGGGCCCTCCCTTCGCCCTGCCTTGTAGGCGTGATAGTTACTGAAGCCTCAGTGGGGGTTGAAACTTCCAGACCAAAGCTGGAATGGCTACCCACTACATGAGGATCTCATGTTGCAATGTCATAACTTAGGAAAGTAAAATCAAGGGAAAGATCCTCACCTAGGAGCCTAGGGGAACAAGCCACACACACATGTTCACATTACTCTGTGAAACTTATTTCAGATGCCAGGCTGCCAGAACTAGAAGATCATATAGTCTGTTTAAGACACAGATTGCTGTGTCTTAAATAGAATACAGTTGTGTATTCTATTCCTTCTTATAAGTATCAAAACTCATACTGAACAATGAATACTGGGTCCCAAAAGAGTGTTTAGTTTTACACCTGTCTTTAGGGTTTTGTCTCCCAGTGGATCAAAAACTTTTCTATAATAGCCATGGACACTAATACTACATCAAGAGACCCCCAGGTATGCTGTGAGAATTTTTTATCTGGGGAGTTATAAGGCCTACATACATCTTATGAAAAATCCAAAACTCATACTGAAGTTCTACCAAAGTTCACTCTGGGGAGCTAGTAAATATATGAGGCTTATTTACATCCTTTTGGTGAGTGGATGCTGGCAGGAGTCTCAGTGACTCCAGCACAGCCACACTGGAAAGAGATGAGGCATACAGCTATAAGAGAACAGAAGAACTGCTAGAGGAAACAGATGCCAATGTGCATAGGAAAAGGCAAGGAATGATAAAGCAAATACATAATTTAAACAGTAGATTTTAAATATGGCACAAAAATAATGTATATAATTTGCATGGTATAAAAAAATGAACCCTGCTTCAGATGTACCATAAAACAGATCCTGGTGTGTGTTGAGCCTTGAATTAGAACACTGTTAGTCCCCCTGTCCCCCCAAATCTAATATTCTCTCTGTGTTTTTATAGTCATATAGCTAAATAAACAGACAATGGTTTTTCTGAGCAACATGAGTCTGTTGTTATAAAATTGCCATCACATTCAAGTAAGACTGATGATAAAGTACACCCTAGACATTCCCTATAATAAGTCTGAGCTCTAAGGAAGAAGAAAATATTAACAAACATCCAGGCTACACTGAAAATATTTTCAATAAATAAAAGGAAATTGAACTGATCTGAGGGATCTCATTTTAACACTGTAAGAGGTGGTTGTAACAATATCTATAGACAGCAGGAGAGACCACTGATATCAGCACAGTCCTCTGAGACATTATTTCCTTATCAAGATAAAAGAAAATTTTGTGGTTACCAATAAGTATTTTAGAGAATCTGACCCAAATAACTCTCCTGAGGAAATTACTCAAGAAAGGACTGATAGATATGTCTCAAACGATTCAGAAGAACTAGGATGCTGATGGAAGACCATGCACTGTCTCAGGTGCCTAAGAGAGCCTCTGACAAGGAGAATTACAGAAAAAGGAATAATTTGGTGTGGAAAATGAAACACCTCATGATGCCATATAGCTTTCAATTATGTGTTTGCTTTTATAAAAAAAAACTAAGGATTTTTATACATATATATTTTAGAAAAACATATAATTGCTGAATTAACAAGTAGAATTAGAATAAATGTAAAAGGCAGTGGCAAGAACAGCTACATTAAACTACAATGAAATGAAGTGCTAAATAAAATGTAGAAATAAGAAATAAAATCAAATATGTCAGGGAGTTTCGATAAATATGAACAGACTTCATTGTCATGCACATTGGGTTTTTATATATCCATGAAGAAGGTTGAAATCATGTCAAAAACAAATATTGCATGCCACATATAGAATATATACATTTGAGAGTAGATCAGATACTTACTATTCAGGAAAGAAAAAGGTGACTAGTGAGTATAGGAAAAAGGAAGGACAGGAAAGGGTAATTGAGAGAGAATATGGTCAAATTCATGAAACACTTGAATGAAAATCATCCATGTGTCATGATTAATTGCTTACACACACACACACACACACACACACACACACAAGAGAGAGAGAGAGACAGAGAGAGAGAGAGAGAGAGAGAGAGACAGAGAGAGAGAGACAGAGACAGAGACAGAGATTGAGAAAAGGGAGTTCCAGGTAGATGGCTCACTGGGTAAAACCATGGTGACCTAAGTTTGATCCTTGAAATTTACAAACAAAGTCCTATGCAGTAGCACATATTTGTAATCTCAGTACAGCAATGGAAAATGGGAGCAGAGGTAGGAGAATTGCGAATTATCTGGAAGCTTCCAGACCATCAAATGTGAAGTATGCAGCAGAAAAAAAATGTAACAAAGAAAACATTTAACAAGAGAGACACTGCTTCAAAAACAAGTTATAAGGGAAAAGACCAACTCCTGGAGGTTCTGTGATTTTACATAAGCTCAGTGGCATGTATACCAGAACTCACATGCTCATCGTACACATACACATATACACATACCAGAAACATACATACATACAACACTTGAGTATAAATGATAAACAAAAGACACTATCGCCGGGCGGTGGTGGCGCACGCCTTTAATCCCAGCACTCGGGAGGCAGAGCCAGGCGGATCTCTGTGAGTTCGAGGCCAGCCTGGACTACCAAGTGAGTTCCAGGAAAGGCGCAAAGCTACACAGAGAAACCCTGTCTCAAAAAACCAAAAAAAAAAAAAAAAAAAAAAAAAAACCAAAAAAAAAAAAAAAAGACACTATCAAGTAGGTCAATGAACAAAATTCATCCATATGTTTTTTATAAGAAATATGAGCAAGAATAATGTTAAAGAAAGGTTAAAAACCAAAGGTCATCTGAACAGACAGAAAGGCTAACAAAGTGAATATGAAAAATGTAATTTAACATTCAAAGCACAGACAATAAAAAATATAATATGATTTAATATTAGCAGCCAACCTGTAAGTCAGTGGAAAAGAGTAAAAACCCAGAAGCAATTTCTCATATGCATGGTAAATTTACTTTCATCAAAAATTTCAAGGTAATGCAGTCAGAAACAATAGTATTTTTAGGACACTGTACTGGAAGAACTTGATCTAACCAAGTTATTTCCAAATCTATTATACAATTAACAAAAATATATTTCAGAAACAAAGCAATAATTAGATGTCAAAGACTAATACAAGAAAATCTCAAACAAATTATTTTTTGTTGAGTTATTTATTTACTGTGTTTGTGCATGTGTGTGCCATTGTACACACATGTAGATGAGAGGATCGCCCATGGGAAATGGTTTTCTCCTCCACCTGTAGATTACAGAGTGAAAACACAGGACAGCATGCTGGGTTCCATGGCCTTTCTTGCTGCACCGTATCAACGACTCTGAGTAAATTACTTTTGAACTTGTCTCATAATCTGTTTATTTACTTGAGCGGTGGTTATAATTTCATAGCATGACTAGAAAAGAAATAGGGCCTAGGGCTTACTGGTGGAGCATTCGCATAGCAAGTACAAAGCCATATGTTCTATCCCAGAGCTACAAAACAGCCACAACAACAAAAGAAACCACAACCAGCCTACATATTGGGCATATGTGCATATGAAGCAAGAGCCAATGGAAAAGCATTCAAAGCCAAAACTGTAACAACCCAAACCAGGCATATAAAGTGATATTAAATGTAATTGGATATACAAATAAAAATCATACATATTGATTGGTGTAAATAAGCAAAATAGAGAAGATATAAAATTCTCATGTTAAAGAATTCCAAATTTTTGATGTAGACACTCTCGTCCTAAAGAGTTAATGCACAAATGGCCACTGCTTACAAGTGGTATGTGCATAACAGTCTCCGTTTCCAGATTACAGTGTGAAAAAGCAGGCGATATATGTGGATTGCTCAGTTATTTTGTCAAGGTGACACAAGCTGGAATCATGTGGAAAGAACGAACTTCAAATAAGAATACACCTCCATCAAATTTCCTACATGCATATCTGTGCAGCATTTTCTTGATTAATGATAGGTGTGGAAGGGCCCAGTGACACCACCCCTGAGTGGGGGTGTTCTGGGTAATATAAGAAAACAGCTGATCCAGCTGTGGAGAGCAAGCTAGTAAGCAGTATTCCCCCTTGTAAAGTCAAATACATTTGAGTTTTCTTTGTATTGCTGTGATAAAGGTCAGGACCAGAAACAATTTGAGGAGACAAAGACTTATTTAATCTTAAGGCTTGTATTCCATCAAGAAGGGAAGTCAAGGCAGGGACCAGAAGGAAGAGAGGCAATGGATATTTGTGCTAACAGCAAATGATTATAGACAAAGTATAGATAAAAACATATATATTTGATTTAACGGCTTAATTCATTAGCTAGCACACAATTTGTAAACCATAAAATAGGTAAATAGTACAATTTCTTTCAAATTAAGATTTTTTCAAATGGTGACCATGAACAATAACAAAAGATTAGCAGAACAGATTCACAAGGTATTCACAACTAGTGGCCAGATGGGAACTGGAGTTCAGAGCACTTACATGAGTGTCCAGGGCTAATGCACAAGCTAACACTGGTCTTTCCAGTTGCATCCATTTTCCCTTATTCTTCTTTAGGACTAAAATAATTCCCATTCTACATATGCACCTGTTCCTTATCCAGTGAGTGTCGCAGTGATAAGATGACTTAGAACCCTTCTATTTCAGATCCAGGAGGGATAGAGCTAAATTCACTAATTCTCACAACCTGTGAATCCCAATGTTAATTCTGTAGTTTTCTTCTTTTGCTTGCCTTTATGTACATAAGTTTTGAAAAATAAAAATGCTTTTTGACATTTAGACAGAAAGACATTCACAATTGTACTTCACTTCTATGGGTTTAATTGAAGGACATGTTAGATTGATTACATGATTGCATGTCACATGATTTAAAATAGCCATGTGTCATTGAACTTGAGAAGACATAACCCTGTCTGATCACTTCCCTCTCTAAAGCAGAAATAATCACCTGAACAAATTTGTTTTCTACATCAATGTCTGTGGAGACTTTGACAAAAGTAAGATTGACAATTTGATTTTTCTTTTGTGAGGTGTGTGATTATGCATACTTGTATCTGAGTGTTATATGTGTCTCTGTGTGTGGTTTGTATGTCTCCCTGTAAGTATCTGGGGGTGTGCACACACTAATGTGCTGTTTGTGCTCTATGTGTCTGTGTGTGATGTGTGTCTACATGTATACCTATGTACGGTGTGTGTTTTTGTGTGTTTATGTGTATGTGCCCCTGTGTATATTACCACATGCATGTGATGTGTACCTATGTTTATGTGCCTGTGTCTGTGCCCCAGTATGTAATACATGTATTTATATGTGTCCCTCTGTGTGGTATGCCTTTGTGTGGTTTGTGTATGTGTCTATATATGTGAGTCTCTGTGTGAACATGTGTGGTGTATCTGCGTGTACCCCTGTGTGTGGTGTGTAGCATATGTGCCTTTGTGTATGTGC